TGAAATTCAGCCTATGCTCAGATTCTGAGACTTTTGGTTCCATGAATAAATCTGGAAACCTCAAACCTCTAGAGTGGAGTCTAAGTCTAGTCTAACAACCTAGGTTAGCCCATCATAACAGACATCATTTACTAACATTTAATTCTGACTATATACTGTATAGCTTTGTATGTGATGATTATAAATCTTAAAGATAGGTATTACTGTAAGGGCAGATAATCAGAGAAATGTGTTTTCATGATCTCTTTTTTTAATACTACAGTAGGTTTAAAAATATACAATGACATCATCCATTTAGATAAATATAATATCATTCAAAAGTTTAGGGTCAGTAAGATTTTTTTTTCCAAAGAATATATAAAATATATTTAAATATATCTTTAAATAGGAAAACGTAATTATAAATTGTGATATTCCACAATATTACAGTTTTTACTGTATTTTTTTATTTCTTTTTATCAATTAAATCTAGCCTTGGTGAGCAAAAGCGAATGTATGTCTTATCTACCCCAAACATTTGAACAGCACTATAGAACCAGTATTATTGACATATTCAATCTACTGATATAGCATGTTGCTCACTATCTAAAGGAAACTCGATGAGAAATACAAAAAAATTTGACAACATCATACATGTAACAAAATTGATTTATTGTTCATTCTCACTCATTTAAAGCCCTCCTGACCCTCCTTCATCACAGGATCATTTAGCTGTTTTTTCCATCATAATTAAATACATATTTTTAATCAGACTCATATTCTGAAATACTGAAACAGCAAAAAACCTCCCTGTATAGATCGTGTCATGCACATTACTATACTAGCCTAACACCATTAAAAAAAGGGCCTAAATAAGAAGCAAGAGATTAAGCACCAAGACTTTTTTTTTGTTCATATATGAAAGAAACAAGTTCAATTACGGTCAACTAAAAGGCAGTGTGTTTTGCACTTCTAACACACAAACCAGGCCACCACTACAGTAATTCTGAAAAGTCCTTCATTTGAGCGGTACAGACGATACCATGTGAGCCACATGAAAAGGCCACAATCCTTTTCTCTCTCAAACTTTTTTAAAAGCATAACATAAAGGTTGTTTCTTTCCAACATGAAAGGAAATAAACCAACTACTCACGGCAGAAAGAGCTGCGCTGCTAATTAATAGAAACTAAAGGCACCAGGAAGAGGATGAAACAAAGTGGTAGGTGTGTGTGCGTTAAAGTGGTCAAGAGTCTAGACGCTTCTCCCACAAACTAGCCCACATCCAAAAATCAGATCGCTATGAACAGGTTTTCTCTTTAATTTACATTTGCAGTCATGTAACTGGGCTGTTCTACATGTGTTTTTTCATGCGCTCATATATTTATTAAACATACCTGCTGATCAACTTATGGCCACAAGAGGGTAGCAGAACATTCATTTACAAAGAGCAAGAGTTGTTGAATTATTATGGACTGACCCTTGATGTAACTTGCATTCAGACAACACAACTGATTTGGAGCAGATTCTTTCTGATTACAGTAATAGGCCTATTATTATTATTATTTACTTAAAATTATATAAAAGATTCTGTAAAGGCTTTTTTTAAAATCTCAAACACTCTGATAAATTCGATAAAATTACAATATTTAGAGTGAGAAATTTCACGCGTTTATATTGAAAATGATCATGAAATACATAGCTTCAAAGTGTCACATGCCACCCAGAATTTTGACTAATGCTCTCTTAGCAGTTTATAAGGACAGTTTATTAGTAAATTCAGCAGTTCATGTGTTGTGAGGTACATTTTCACACATTTTGATTGTTTAAATGACTCCTAATGTTGCACCATCATAACTAATCAGGGCTTCTCCTTCTTCCTTTTTTTTTTTTTTTGCCAGTATTTACTCTGGCTTTAACACAATGCAACAACAGACAGAGAATAAACAAGTTCTCATACTCAGACTTTTAGGAGGAAAAAAAAAACAAAAGTAAAATCCAAAGAAGTTCTACTTCTACATCACTTCTACTTAACAGAACATTTTTTGTGGCACTCTTAAAGGGCCTCAGATCTTTAACCATTATGATAACCATCACAGTTACCCATCATTTTCGTGACTAACCACATTAGCATGAAGAGAAATTGCATTCTTACAAGTATAACACCGAGATGGCTGTATCAACATCTGGACTAGTTGCTAATTGTAGAGTTTTCAAGCAGTTTGCTGGAAATCTCGACACGAACGGAAAATATTACACTTCAATTAGAGTTGGGATTCTTTCAGTTTTGTTCAGCCTGGTAGAAAAGCAGCAGATACACAGAATGAAGAGGATCATGAACGAAAGCGTTGTCTAATCATTAAAGATTTGCCATATCTGTCAAGTATTTGAGTTGAATCTGACACACTCATCCCCAACCCGTCATCAAAATATGTACAACTGGTGTTGAACCCTCATCAGCCACATTGCACTACTTTGGTACTTCAGCTTTTCTACCTTGACTGGATAGAAATAGGAAGTGGCATTTCAAGCAAAATACGTTTAGGAATAATTTCCTTCACATCAGAAGCTTTGTGGTTTAAGAGAAAAAATAAGGTAATATACATAAATCTACACATTCGATTAATCTTTGTCTCTTTATACATCATGGATTTGTCCAGAAGAGTTTAGACAGAACATGGAGATGGCAGAAGCAGAAGAGGTCAATCACGTCATTCCAATCCAGTTACAGGGAGATAACAATGAAAAAAAAAAAGGGGATTTAAGGTCCATGTTAGTCAAAATTCAGGCTGTACAAGAGGTCCAAAAACGTACTAATAGAGGACAAAAGACATACTAACGAATGTAGAATCATCAAGAGTGAACTTGAGTCCAGGATTAGGCTTAATCTGTGTGACCTCTCTACATTCACCTTGAAAAGGTCCATTGATCTTTTAAATCCGATGGCAAAAATGTGAACCAATCATTATTCAGTGTCGCAGTTCACAATACAGGTCTATATAAAAAGACAAAAAAGTGCTTTAGATTATTATTAAGTAAAAACAATGGAGTTTGTAAAACAGTCAAACTGGGCATCAGTAAAAGGTCTTCAACATGTATTAAGGTGATTTAAGGTCCATGTTAGTCAAAATTCAGGCTGTACAAGAGGTCCAAAAACGTACTAATAGAGGACAAAAGACATACTAACGAATGTAGAATCATCAAGAGTGAACTTGAGTCCAGGATTAGGCTTAATCTGTGTGACCTCTCTACATTCACCTTGAAAAGGTCCATTGATCTTTTAAATCCGATGGCAAAAATGTGAACCAATCATTATTCAGTGTCGCAGTTCACAATACAGGTCTATATAAAAAGACAAAAAAGTGCTTTAGATTATTATTAAGTAAAAACAATGGAGTTTGTAAAACAGTCAAACTGGGCATCAGTAAAAGGTCTTCAACATGTATTATTTAAAACTTGAGTCCAAAATTAAAGTGTGAGGGGTTTGAGTTGCTGATTCTGAGTCAGAGTAAATCTGCAGTCTCAGTGATCTTGAGCCCCACACAAGCGCTAACTGGAAGTGCATTCCCTAAAACCACGTGATATCGCTGCCATTTAAATCCCAGCCTTCAAAGAAAGGGCACGTATGCTCCCATTAGGTGAATTTATGAGCAAAGATCCACAGGAGACACAAAGCAAAGCAAATCCTCGTCAACATCACCTTCTAGCCTATCAGGTGTCAGAACTTCAAGTCTTTGAAGCAAGGAATAAAAACATCCTCCAAAATCCATGGTACATTTAAAGTTCGTATAACTTAAAATAGGCATGGGGTAGAAACCAATAATGGTAGAGTGGAACACAAAGTGGCAAATATGGTTGCAGCTAAAGTGATTTCATTCATCTTGAAATAAAGATAAAAGAGAGCGAGAAAGAGAAAAGTGAAGTTAATTCTATTATTCTCCCAAAATGTTTTTAGGATGAAAGGCTGAACGACGAGTAAGTGCTTCATGGTTTTCATGACTATAGTGTCCTCTATACCACAGATCCATAAAAAGACTTAAAGAGAGAGAGCAGGAGAGAAAGAGAGCAGGTTCTGTTGTAAAATGAAAAACCATTTGTATCCTTCTTGATTAGAACATCTATATTCACTCTCTAGAAAATAACACCACCCCCTTCTGTAATAAACTACATGAAGGGCAGCGCTGACATGGTGATTGGAGTCTTTGTTGGTTACACACTTTAAAAAGAATTTTCAAGAGTTCATAAGTGCAGACCTTCATTTTTTTGTGTGATATGTGTTAATAACTGTACATTAGGGTGCGTAGTCCTACAAAGAGTTTAGATACAACCCTGAACCAGATAGTCAAGGTTTTGTGGTACATTAAAAATCATAGACGTGTGTTAGAACAGGTTGGAACTAAATTCTGCAGGATGGTGGATTTCCAGGAGCAGGACCGAGCATCTCAGATGTGAGTACTGAGAGCTCAGAACTATTTTTACATACAACACTGACCTAAACAAGCTACATGTTTTAGAAGCATTTAGATGTGTGTGCAGAGCTTGTATGTAGATGTGTAAGCATGCATTGCAAGTGTGTGTGTGCAAGTGTTTGTGTGTGTATAGTTCACTAAATAACGGCCACGTGATTTTCCCCATCTCACAGTGTTTGTGATTCTGCAGGGGCCGTGTGTGGGCTCTGCGGGGGAGAATGTGGCGGGGACTGCAGAAGGGAGGTGAAATGTGGGGTCGGAGGGCAATAAGAAGGGGCGGCTGTGGGGGATGGGGGCAATCCGGAGGGCACCAATGGCCGTGCTCTATGAGCACCGTCTTCACGTGCGCGCGCCTCTCTGACAGCACTCAGAAACAGTCTCTCAGACAGCACACACATATTACAACATTATTTCTTTTTCGCTGCTGATTGCGTTTCAACGGCTTATAATCACTTGTTTCTAAACCGCAATGCTAAAAAACGCCTGCAAACGATAAGTTTTCGTGTCCACGTTGCATGTGCGTGTAATCACAATAGAGACAACAGACCAAAATCTCTACCGGTTAATCGTGTCTACCGGTACATCACCCACCCCTAACTGTCGACATGCACTTATACATATTATATGTAACAATACATGCCTTAACACCATAAGGCAACCACCATCATACTGTACCCACAACAATTTTATTGCATTCCTTCTGAACTTACCCTGTTCAAACTGCCTCTGCATGCTCTCTATCTCCGCTTTATTCCCACTTACCCTGTAGATACCCTCTGTTGTCAAACCTAAGAGAGAGTTTTTTTAACAAGATTATTTTGAGGTACATCTTACTAGGACTCATTTTAAGCATTTTAAGACTTTAAATACTAATCACTGCCAGAGTACTTGTTAAAGTGTCGAAGATAATTCTACAAACTGCTACTACATTCAGGTCTAATATACTGTGTTTGCGGCTATTAAAAATGCTAAAAGTAAAAAGTTATTAAATTCATATTAATATGGTTCTACAATCTTCATTGTCAGACCATAACTGAAACCCAGTCAGAAAAAAAAGTTTTGTGCAAAACTATGCTGTGGTGTGATTTATGACAGCTACAGGCCATTAAGCATCTAATTTTAACTGGAAACTGCGATAATGATAAGCTTATATGGTTCCCTAAGCACAACTCTTATGGGGTGAGTGTGATGGTGAAACAGCAGCAGCAAATTTACCTGTGGCTTCAATGTAACGAATACACTTGTCAATGAAAACTGGAATAAGTCGTTCAAGGGAAACCACATTCACCAGAGGCACCCCAAAGTAGTTACTCTCCAAAGGCTTAGAGATAGAATGACGAGGCTTTGGTCTTGTTTTCTGCCAGCAAGACAAATACAGATTATTTGACAATTATACAAGACAATTAGCATTGTTTTGACTCCAATAACAGCAATTAAATTAAATATCACAATGTTAAAAACAGATAAGCATACTTTTTTAAATGCCATGTAAAATAAGTAAACAAATAAATCTTACTTTGCCTGGTCGGCGAAGACTTTTCAGTATGTTCCTCTTTTTGGGATCTTCTCCTTCTTCATTGGCCTTCAGCCCTGAAACATCATCATCTTTTGACCTTGAGAGTGTGCCAATCTCATCATCACTACCAATGGAAAAACTAGTGCGGAAACTGCTGAACTTCCCCAGACGTTTGGAACGATCACGGTACAGCCGTGGCTTCACCCTTGCTGCAGAGAACTTGCGACGTCTCTCCAATGAGCTGCCATCCCCTTCACTGTCTGAACCATTGCCTCCTCCATTAGAGTGGATCCGATTGGAATTGCGGATGGTAATAATTTTGCCCTGTGTGCTGTCATGTGGCACAGAATATATGCTATCCTCATAGCTGGGGCGTGGTTTAGAGACAGCATCCATTGGCTCAGCATAGTCAGAAGGATCATAATCTCCTCCTAGAGGCCACGTCACATTGGATGTAAGGGAACGCCGATGGCTGACTGCATCCACGTACGGATTAAAATTTGATTTTCTAAGGTCAAATGTGACACTTGGTTTGGGTCTTACTTGAGGAGGAACTTTATTATTTAGCTTGTTCTCAAAGGTGCTAAGGTCAGAGATCACAGAGAATGTGTCACCTGAGTCCAGGTCAGGCAGTTTGAATCCACCATGAGAGGTGAGTGTTCCATCATGGTAAGGCGGGGAAGCTTCCATGTCTTCCTCAGAATCTAACAGCATTGTGACAGGGCTTGGGGAGCCACAGTGTGGTGAATACACATTCTCATTTGTGCTACTGGCTTCTGCAACGTTTTCATACATATGGCTGGCCTCAACAATAGTTCTCTTTTCTAATACCTCTGTGAAAAATTGTTCCAACAGGTCTAGTTTTTGTAGTCCTCCAACAACTCCTCCAGGGCCACAGACAATACTGCAAAACCGTCCCTCAAGTTCACGGGCCAGTTCTTCACCTTGGACTAACAACCCATGAGCAGTCTCAGAATCCAGAAGCTCAGTCTGGGTTTCCTCCACTGCAAGCAGCTGAACTGGGACAATGTCCTGAACCTCACACAAAAAGGCACACAGGGTTTCAAAAGAAGCCTTGCGGCTAGCAGAGTATACAGCGATGTAGCCATGCACCAGCCGACTCTTACGAGTGGCAAAAGAAGCGTGGTATGACATTAGAGACAGTTCAATTGTATGCTTATGACCACTAATTGTTTGTTCTAGCAGCACTGAAGTGCCACTTGTCTGAGGAGAGGTCGGCTTGCAATGCTGTGGAAGCAGGAATGGTGCAAGAATTTGATCAATGTCATAGGAGTCTCCACACATTAGGCACATGACAATACGCAATTCAGCCTCTGGACTCTGATCCTGCTGTAACTCTCGAATACATGGAGGCAGTGGAGGTGCAGGTGGAGAACAGCTACGAAATGTAGAAGTCCTCCTTGTTTCAAGTAGAACCTTCAAGACCTGATTGATCTGCTTTTCATTCACATTTCGCCCATAGCCAGTGCCAGGGGAGGCAGGTTCCAGGTAGTTACACTGTAGTTTTATGGCTACCTGCTGACCTTGTGAGATTAATGCTTGAGCAGTCTCACCACCAATGTCACCCAGTCCTCCAACACCTCTTTTGGTTACTAATAAGAGTGACAGGGGAAGCGGAGCCATATGGTTGTCCCTTCTGCCAAGCGTGGACTCTCGCAACTTCTCAATACTTTCTACAACATATGACAAGGACTCTTTTGAATTGTACAGACACAGGCATCCGTGGGGAGTAAATGTGGATGTATTAAATGAATTAACAGGAAGTCTAACATTACCCTCAATGGGCCGAAGGACAAGCTCATACATTCTACCTTCAAGCATATAATGATCATCATTGGTACACAATGCCCGAATCTCATTGACTAATTCTCTAGCAAGACTATCTTTGCCCAGTATAACAAGATTGATCCTATCTACCTTTCCATCAAAAATATTGGACTTTCCAAAAGAAGGGTATTGTGCAGGAAAGCACGAAGCTAGTATTTGCTCAATTTTGTTGTCAACACAGTGTGGGCAGTTCGGACATGTTTCCTTCGTAGGGTGATACACAAAATGGATGTGTTTCAGCACTAAAGCATCCCTTTCAGCTTGTAATTTCTGAAGGGCCTTGAAGCGTTGTTCTTCACCTAACACTTCTTGAATTGCTCCCATCTTTTCTTTACTAGGTTTGGCATCTACCTCAAGCTCATAGAAGAGCTCAGAGTACTCCAGCAGAAGCTCCTGAAAATCCTCTTTTGCCCTGTCTATGATTGCTTTCTGATGCCGGTTATAAATGTCCAAATATTCTGGCTCCTCAAGCCACTGGTAGAAGTCTTCATTCATGATGAAGCTTCGGGCCTCCTCCCAAGGTTTGCCAGGGGTAATGAAAGGTGAAGATGCTAATTTTGCTTTGAACTCATGACGCATCTGGGCACGCTTGCATTCATTGCGCAAGTGTTCAAGGTGTGCATCAAAGATTATTTCAGCAGCCGTGGTGTCTAGAACATCAAAGGGGATACGCTCATCCTCCATATTGTCAAGATGCGGCGTGTCCTCCCATGGTGCATCGTCCAGTACCACAAACCAATGATCAAAGTCTTTTTTAGATTCAAGGACCTTCTGGACCCCAGACCAGCTCAAATGCTCAATTTCATCCAACTCAGAAGCTAAGCTACTCAAGGCGAGTGGAAGAGCACTCAAGTATGCTTTACGACGCCTTTCAATGTGTTCCTGTTTTAGCCGGTGAATATGCTGTTGAAACAGCTTCTTAGCCTTACCCGTACCTTCTAAAAATACATACTCCTTGTATTCAGGTGAAGTCTGCATTCGTCGGCTAATATTGGGCCATGTTTCATTGTGATTCTTCACAATGTGGTTTACTAACCACTCATAGCGGTCTTTTGCAGAAGCAATTAGTTGACTCTGGTGTTTCAATGCCTCAAAGTAAGGTATGATCTTGGGCTTACCTTTTCCCTTATCAATGAGCTGTATCAAGGTAAGGAAAGCCAAGTCAACATTGACACTGGACCGTGCCGACGTCTCAACAACCTGCAGGTTCTTTTTTGTAATGGCAAAGGTATGAGAGTCCTTGATGTATCGCTCCACACCCTCATCACACTTAGTGAGAACTAGCACAATAGGCTTTTTTGTCTTGCTTAAGTGATTGTACAAGTTGGTGACAAATTTCATTTGATCATCAAAGTTGCGGTTCATACCACGACTGACATCAACACAAAGGAGAAAGCCATCCACCTGCAATTTGCCTTCGGGCATTTGCTTCTGTTCGAAGTCTTGCTCGAGTCCCAACTGATCAGTGCAGAAGTACATGAGTTTTTCAGCAGAAGCCAGTTTGGTGGAGGCAGCTCTTTTGATGTAGGGTTGTAAGGCTGTGCTGCGATGGGGCTGGAACGTCTGGTCATCAATGAATTCGGTCTGCTCAACCACATGCATCCTGCAGTCTGCACCATCTTCCAAAACTCTCCCCACCTCTCCCCAGAACAGGAAATGGTCATTGTTGACAACCCGGCCACCAAAGTCACTGGTACTTAGCACAGAAGTGTGATCAAGATGGAAGTCGTCCGCACTAGGACGGACAAAGCGGTTACTAAGGCATGATTTACCAACTCCACATTGCCCTTTCTCCTTCTCAGTCCCCGACAGGCCAACAACAACGAGGTTGTAGATAGGCATTCGGGATTCTTGCTTTTTAGCCATCATCATTGCACACAGGCATTCATCTTGCCATGCCCCAAAGGTTGACAGAGGCAGACTCTTTAAAACGTGTCCATAAAATATTGATGTCAGGGGCCTGTATTTGATTTACAATTGAGATTTTAGTTCTGATGTTTCAATCATCCTTTCAGGTCAAGAAAACTGCTTGTATGTTTTGCCCATATTAGAGGGTACTAATAAGAGTTAATAGAGGAGACATGAAGATGCGAAGGCAGAAGCAGGAATTGGGGCTAGCCTAAATGAGAAAGAAAGGGAGAAAGAACAAACCAATTACCAGCAAAATTATGTGCTTTGTTTGCCCAAAAGGCAAATTTCAAAGAATTTTAAGAAAACTACTTTATGAATTCCCACAGATATTAAGATGTTACTCGATTCACACAGTATAACCCTACATTAAACACTAAACCCCTTAATGTACCTAACATTATACATTAATACATTTCAATATGTTTCTTCAATAATGCTTAAATATTGTTCCAAACAAACATTTATAAAAAAAAAATTCTAATCAAAATATAAAGCAAATTTTAATCAAGTTCTTATTATGGATTTCTAGCATTATGAGATTAATATGGATCAATTCCTATGCTAGCAAACCTACACAACTATGTAAATACTAAGAAACTAGTTAGAATAGTTAACTTCACAGTCCTTCACAATCATAATTTACAATCTATTTACACTTGGTTTCACTATGTACTTCGAATTTAAACATATACTGCTCGATAGTTTTTGGTTATTTGTGTTTAGTTTTTGAGAGTTGCCCGATTTCCAAAACACCACTCAGAAGTTTTTTGAATACAATATGTGGGTTGGCCATTTAATAATGGTGCTTTCTCACACAGCAGACATAAGCAATAATTCCAGCATGTAATTAATCCACTATTATCCTTAGTGCTAGTGCTGCTTTTTAAAGACTTAGGAAATTCCTGATTAGTTCATTTGCCGGAGTGAAGTCTTCTGTTGTCTGAACTAGTCACTTCACATCACAAAGTTCAAGTAAATGTTAACATATACTATAAAAAATAATATACCAAGGCTCCCAAATACTTACAGCAAACACCATATTAATGACAAATTTTACAAAATGTCATTATCTGAATAAAATGTCACTGGTGCTTGCCAGTTCAACTCTCAATTCCTAACCGTTGTCAGGGTGTTACTAGGTGGTATCTAATCATTCTGTGTGGTTCATAACTATGTGGTTGTTCATTCATTCATTCAGGTTTCCATGATATTCTGGTTGTAGATATGGATCAGGTTGTATGCGTGATTACACAATATTACATATAAAATATTAAGGCACAATATAAAAAATACAGAAAATCTGAAATAACAGTAAAGGCAATTACTTCCTCTACACTGAACTGTAGAACTTAGCAGTTAGGTTCAAACCTTCATTTTCAAAGTATTTTTAGAGCATGATCTAATAGTAAGCACATTTAAACAAATAAGCACTGGTGAATAGAATATTACCATGTCCAGCATTTAATGATTTCTTTCTTTAGCCATCTCTGTATTATTTCCAATACAACAGCACACCCACAATTCCATCATCTCATCACTTATTTGTCATTCCAAACCCATATGGCTGTCTTTTATCCATGAAATGCAAAGGGGGAATTTTTAAATAATGTAGTTGATTGCCGTTTCCGTGCAATTACAGTGAATGTGGACTGGAGCTTTCAAGCTTCAGAAATGACAAAAAACACCACAAAAGCATCATAAGTGGCCAATGTGATGGGCAATATTCCATGTCTCCTAAAGCCAAATGATACATTTGAAAAACAGACCGAAATTTAAGATGTTGGGCTACTTTCATGATGCTTTTTTTGCCATTCTGTATCTTGATGGCCCTAGTCCTCATTCACTTTCATTATACTGAAAAGAGTGGGCAGAATATTCTTAAATTCACCTAGTGTGTTCCACAAAACCAAAAGTTCTCACAGAATGTTCATTTTTTGGTGAACTGTTATCTAAGGGCATTGTCACATACTGTATGCAGTTGTTGGAAACCAGTATTAATATGTATATTAGACAATATTATACATTAGACAACTACATGGGTGACATTTTAACATTTTCAAAGAATGTATTCGGTGATCATTTATTGAACTTGCTAAAAAAAAAAAATGAAAATAATATGAAACAAGATTACTTTGACAACAGTTCTTGTTCCCACATTGCATCAAAACACAAACGCACATATTTAGGTTAGTGCATTGTTATAAATAAGAGAAGAATGCAGAATACAGTATAAAAAAAAATCTTTATTCATCATTTATCTTAATTAGTGCTGTAACAAATACAATAAAACTTTCTTTTTTTTATTAGTGGCTATTCAAAATGGTGTTTTTCTAGAGCTATTCCTGGACAATGCACTCAACAGCATGCATATTACTCCTAACTTGAAAAATGTTTTAGTGGTACAGTACCACACACAGGAAATGTTTTGTTGGTGAATCCTGATGCTATATCTGGTGTTGCAGACTTAAAAACTCAAATACAGACCCTGCGTGGCTACAGACCTCAAACTATGCGATCCCCAGGCAGGTCAGGTGCAGTGCAAGTGGGTGCTAGTGACAATGCAGTTTGATTGGTACTACATAATATCCGAGTCTACCAGCTGTTTAGACTCACCTTCAACTGACACACCAAGACAAAACCTGATGATCTGACTTGCTGTAGTAGCCCACGGTGTTGTTAAACACTGAGAAATATATGGCTTGATCATACATCAAACACTGCTGTGGTTGTATGTGTATGGCAAAATAAAGACATCCCACGGCACACTCTTCAAGCAAAATACACATCTGAAGTTCTGAACCCTAAAGAAAGCAACTGCTAAAAGATTTCACTCCAAAAGCCTAGGCCCAGCATAGCCTAAGAAAGCTACGTAACGCGGATGTCATGGTTCAGAACTGCGTTCATATGAGCGTCTCAGCAGTCTGTGTAATGCTGCAACAGAGATTACACACTCAACTGTACGTGACATTTCCTCACGTATTTAAATCAGAGTATGTAGTTATAATAAATTAGCGCGACTCATCTACGTTACATGTCGTTGGTGTATTCTACTGCGTTACATAGAACATACAACTAACAAGGTGCACATCACGTGTGAAAATAGTCTGCCAATTTATAACATTCTGAGATTATAAGAGTGCAAGATAAATCCGTTTTAAATGCAACCAAGGCGCTGCCTGCACAATAGACAGCACTCGCTTGTATTTATACACAATTTCCCTTCTGTACTCCACTTCTTATTTAAAGATATTTTATTTATAGGATTCTTAAACGGCTGAAAACTGTCACGTAGGTGACACGGTCTACTTTGCTCGCTAATACTTGTTTTAATGAAACACCGTTGATAATACACACATACGTACCAGTGCCTTTCTCCGTCCTCCCTTTCGCTTCTCAAGCCCTCTTCCAGGCCAGCGCGAGAGGGCTTACAACCCGGCTTGGTCAGTGTTGTGGGAGACCAGAAAGAAAGGAAAACAAAAGACTACGTAAAAAGCCGAGTACATTAAATTCCGTGAGGACTGTTTGATTGTGGCTTGACAGACTTGCAGTTTCCAAGGGATATTTTTGTCAGGCGCAACTTAGGCTACTGATCTCGCGTTCGCATAGAAACGGCTGGGAAAATCCACCGACGGCTAAACATATCCAAACAAAGAAATGTCCTTTCTTGGAGGCCAGTCGTTTCCGTGCAGAAAAAGGCTTGTTTTGATTTCTTCCTGCGGCCTAAGCACGTTGGTTTTGATCAATTATAATGCCCTTTGTTGTGGCCATAAAATGCTGATTTCACCATGTGCAGACGGCATGCAGCGATGCCTTTACAGTGAGACACAACATCCAGTTTTTCGTAGCCAAATCACGAGCAACGCATGTCTTTAAATGTTAAGATATATATATATATA